CCATTTTAGAGGTTTTTGTCATACACATACATACATACATACATAGAGAGAGAGAGAGAGAGAGAGAGAGAGAGAGAGAGAGAAAGTTAGTTTAAGAGAGAGAGAGAGAGGGAGAGAAAGTTAGAAAGCAAGCTGCCAGGAGGCCCGGGACTTGAACTGCAGTCAGCCATGTGGGAGTCCAGTGCCCTTAACTACCACACCACCCGCTGGCCCCTAATTATTTCCTTTTAAATACAATCTTTTCTTTTTCTTCTTTTTTTAGATTTCTTCTTTAATTTTTACCATAGAGCATGTGCACATGCCAGAGAAAGACAGAGAGAAAGTGAGAAATCACCTCCCAAGGGGATGGCCACACCATAATCCCTTCTTGTCTGTTCTCTTCTGGAGATTTTGGACATGCATGCACACATGTCTGGCATGTTTTTCAAGCTACCAGGTCCAGGACTCAAACTATGCAGCTGGCCACATGGGATCCAGCACCCTAACCATCATACCACTTGCTGGCCCCAAATGCATATCTTCAAAGGAGAAATTTTTCCCTACTTTGTTTTTCAATTTTCTTTCTCATTGTCCTATCAATATGAATTAATTTTTAAATATAGCTTCAGTCAATTCCGTATACATTTTTTCGTATGCTCAAACAGACTCATTTTTCAAGTTAGCTTCTGTACCTCTTTGTCATGACCCATTAGTTTTTACTGCCTGGCACAACAAAATATCCCAGGTTTACTTTGTGTATTTTTTGTCCCAGATTTGGAATCAGCCATTCTTCTAAAGAGCCTTGGTTCCCATTAATGGAAAAGGTATTTATTTTTTCCATGAGTGAGAGAGATATAGAAACAGAGACAAAAAGGCACGTCCAACAGGACTCACTGAGCAAATAAGGCCGTTGCTGATGTAATTAGTTAAGATGAGGTCATGCTGGAGTAGAATGGGCCCTGCATTCACTATGACTGCTATTCTTAGATGAAGAGGAGATACAAAGAGAAAGAAACAGAGGAAAGAAAGAGGGTGTGAAGGTACACAGGGAGGTTGTGATGTGAGGATGGAGACAAAGATTGGAACTATGATGGCATAAGCCAAGGAACACCTGCAATTCCAGAAACTAAGAAAAACATGGAACTTATTGCCTCTCCAAGCCTCCAGTAGGAAGCAACCCTGCTGGCACTTTGATGGAGGACTTCTAGCCTCCAGAGATGTGAATTAAATTGCTTCAGTTTGAGTCACCACATTCATTACTGTGTCACAGTAACATGAGAAACTAAGAAAGAAGCATAGACAAAACACTATACCACTTAAAATAATTATTTTTTCCTATGCATTTAACAACATGATAAAGTTAGGCTCATGCAATTCTGTTTGTTTTCAGACTTTTGGAATTGCTTTTTAATTTCATTTTGGGCTATATTGGTTACTTAGGCCTCCAATGTCAGAACTGTATAATAAGACATATTCAGAGAAGTCTTACTTCCACCAATGTCCCACCCTTGTTTTTTCCCTCCCCAAGATATCAAAAAATAGAAAATATCAATAATGAATGTCTTTAGGAAGTAAGATTATGTGTTTCTTAAGACTTCTCTGAGGACTTCAAATCATAACAAAATAGAATTAAAAACAACAGAGATAAAATGGCTTGCTTTTACAGAGCCCAGCTCAGGTTCTAAGATCTCATAAAATCTTCCCATAAGCACATTTTCTTCTCTGAACTCCTACATTGTTTAATGTCTATATTGCTCCCTTAGCCCCTGGTATCCATCACTCAATCAATTAAAAAATGTGCTGAGATCCTAAAGATGATGTGGGGACACAGTGTATTAATTAATTAAATTTTCATGGATAGTTACTTCCTCGATTAAGTTGTATACTGAATCCAAACCTTCCTCCTGTCCTCCATGGTGGTCAGCACTGCTGGTTGATGAAACCAGAATTCCTTTGCCTCCAATAATGAAGAAAATGTAAATAAAAACTAAAACAGATTGCTATAAGTCTTTTTAATAAAATACATCTATGACAACTTCATGTGTAAATAAATATATGGTTTAAAAAATCATGCAAGAGCATTTTGTTACAATTACTAAGAAAGATTTGAGACTACTGTTCCCTCCACAGAAACACTATGCACAGATACAAAATGATCAAAGGCTGATATAATAATGAATCTCAAGTAAGTGGCGGAGCCATCACGTGCCTGC